TCGTCTAATAGCTTTTTTGAGTGCAATGTAAAAAATGCTACAGATGCTGTCATGAAGTCTGCACATTTTGCTTAATAAGGCTTAAAGACATGTCTTAAAATTGGAGGTTATCACAATTTTTCAAGTTATTTCAGTTTTTAATAGTAGTTTTTAATCCGAGCTTGGGCATCCTCTTTCTGACTGAATCATATTTGAAAGATCAACACAGCTCTTTCCTTTTAGTGTCAGTTTCAATCATGCTGCTGTCCTAAATGTAAACACAGCAGGAGACTTTAGAAGCTTTTGTGCTCTTCTAACTTCCACCTGTCAATGATACTTTCTTATGATGTTTTTGCAATGACAATTAGCTCTCTTCATGGAAATAATTTGAACGTACCATGGTAGAGCTATTTCTACTAGAAAGGGCCTTGCAGCACTTGTAAATTGCAAGCTCGCAAAGCAATCGGCATTCTTTATGAAGATTGTGAGCAATCTCATCATTTTGATACAAAACAGGATTAAGAAACATGGAATGTGATGCTAAATGTGTTTACTCAGAACTAAATTCAGTGGGAGTCACTTCCCAGAAACTGTGTGTGTAGGAAGCCCACCCCAGGAGTACAAAGACATAAAGTTGCCCCAAATCACCAGAGGGTATTCAAAATCTCCAGACCAGCTGCTCTTCCATGTATGAAAAAATTGTCAGATACAGCCTTGCAGGCAACTATTCAAGCTATTAACACCCTTGTGGCTGTTCTAATGTGTGCCAGCAGCTGATTTTAGGATTAGTGCTCTTTTATGTGTTTTCCTTATCTCAAAGAGCATCAAGCGTTGAGTCCTGGCCTAGGGTAATCTGCTTTAAGCAGGCATGTTGCAATATGAGGGAAGACTTCAATAGGCCTATTTTTTAATAAGAAACATTAAAGTGAATACACTGGTACCTCAGGTTAAGAACTTAATTCGTTCTGGAGGTCCATTCTTAACCTGAAACTGTTCTTAACCTGAAGACCACTTTAGCTAATGGGGCCTCCCACTGCTGCGCGATTTCTGTTCTCATCCTGAAGCAAAGTTCTTAACCCGAGGTACTATTTCTGGGTTAGTGGAATCTGTAACCTGAAGTGTCTGTAACCCGAGGTACCACTGTATTTATATTCAAATAAACAAGTACAGTGGTACCTCGGGTTAAGTACTTAATTCGTTCCGGAAACTGTTCTTAACCTGAAGCACCACTTTAGCTAATGGGGCTTCCTGCTGCTGCCGTACCGCCGGAGCACGATTTCTGTTCTCAACCTGAAGCAAAGTTCTTAACCCGAGGTAATATTTCTAGGTTAGCGGAGTCTGTAACCTGAAGCATATGTAACCCGAGTTACCACTGTATATTAAGTGTATATTAATTTACCTCTTTAATTGGAAGTGACTCTGAGGATCATCTAGTCCAAACTCCTGCCACCACTCAATGCAGGAATATGCAGGATCGAGCCTGCAACCTTGGTGTTATCAGCACCATGCCCTAACCAACTGAGCTATCCAGCTGATTTAAAACACAACTTCAAAACAAAATGCAGTGCACCACCAGATTACCTATATCAGAGTGTATCACTTAATCTTAGTGAAGCATGGCCACACAAACTCTATAACTGAAGCAGAACAAAGCACTTTGTGAAGGTCATCAACATGCTTTGTTGTGTCTGGCTAGGTTAGGGAGTATACAGCTTTTCATTCCAAACTCTTTGTGTAATTTTATTTTTAATCTTTTGTTTTGAATTTTCACTGTTCCATGAATCTGTTTTAACAGCAATAGTTTTAAGCAAATGTGAGTCGGCTGCTGAACTGTATATGTAGTTTCTCTCCGTTTTTGTAATTCCTAGTAGAGAAAACAATTGACATGTTCTGTTAAAGCCAACCGGATAGGCTATAAGGATTATGGAAAATACAAGCCAACACTGTCAGGTGTTCTTAAATCCACTGAACGAAATGGTGTTGAGTACACCTAACAATATGGATGCCTTTGCCTTTGACTCCAGTACTATAGCTCTCCAATGGAGCACAATGACATTAACACTTTTATCTACAGAGAGATTATAGTTCCTGAAAAGTTATATCTTAATCAGTTTAGGCTACAATCCTATACATTCTTAGCTGGAAATATAACTGCCACTGAATTCAATGGGACTTACTTCTGAGTAGGCAATAACAGCATTGGACTGCAATAGTATAGCTAAAAGTGATGAAGAGTCAAATGACATCTTTAAAAAGAGTGGCAAATCCACCCTTATTCCAGGAGGCATTCTAAGTACATATTTCTGACTTTTTGGTCAATTTTAACCATATTCCTGATAGGCAAGAATACAATTCTCTTCTTGAGACGAGGACTGATAAGAGCAACCAGAGTTTCCTTAGCTTATTTACTCTTCTTGCGTCTAACGTGCAAACTAAATAACAGCAATGACTTTTGTAATTGGCCATGCACAAGTGTGACAGTATGGTCAAATAATCTTTTTCCCATTAAAGGCCTGTTTTCCTCACAGAGGGTGTGATCAGTTTTGTTCAGCTGTACCTGTTTCTATGGACACAAAGCAGCTTATCCAAAAGAACTGAATCTTTAAGCCAGAAACAGATTTGCTTTTTGGAAGCCATGTGTTAAGTAAAATAAACTTTAGGAGCTTCCAAATTGTTTTGGCCCATCTTACAACCATTTTAATATCCTCATTAAGTCAGTACTTTATTTTACTATCCTGTTTTCTTGTTGTCTTGCATTTCTGAATTTATGTTCTGTTTTTTTCTCCTAGGAATGATCTTGACGCATGTCCTTGTTCTTCCTGGGGTTATCCTAGAATAACAATGTCACAGACTTTCCTGCCACATGGTTACTTTACATATGTATGTATGATTGAATTGCCTTCCCAAAATCTAAGTGCAACAAAATAAATACTTGTATGTTCTTCACTAGGGAAGGATAGATCAGCCTATTTCTGGACTGTATCAGTTTTGCATATGGTCATTCAAACATCTGTTCCACCCCCCACCAAAATTTGCATTTGAATACCTATTTTATCTCAATACATGCATTTCTATGTTACCTTAAAAATCCACATTTTGATATATTTCTTCTGCTGAAAACTGTATTGCCAGATTCAAAGATGTGCAAAATCCAAATGATAATTATATTCAAACTAGTCTGGGACTATGCAAATTACTTCTGCTTGCTTAAAAAGGTGGGCCAAACAAAATTCTCCTCTCCCCCCTTCACACATTATATAGATTATCTTCATGTAAGAGAAATGCCATGTGTGAACTAGTCCTAGCAGGCACCAGAACAAAATAACCAGAACAAGAGCTGCTTCAAGCAGCTCCACTTTCATCTAGCAGAAGGCATCATGCCTTTGTTAAAGAGATCTCTGATGAATAAATTCACTATTTATAGCACTTTAGGTAAGAGCATCTAGAATTGAAAGCCAAGTTGATGTTAGTAGACAAAATTCCAAATTAGTGGTAAACATAGCAGTTCAAAAGCACGTCAAAGTGCAAGTAGATAAATAGGTACTGCTCCAGCAGGAAGGTAAACGGCGTTTCCGTGCGCTGCTCTGGTTTTGCCAGAAGCGGCTTAGTCATGCTGGCCACATGACCAGAAAAAACTGTCTATAGACAAACATCAGCTCCCTTGGCCAGTAAACCAAGTTAAGCGCCGCAACCCCAGAGTCATTCGCGACTGGACTTAACTGTCAGGGGTCTTTTACCTTTACCTTGTACCAAGTAGGATTAACAACTCTATTTGGGTTATCAGCCCATCGATTAACATGTGAGGCAGAAGAAAAAAGCCATTCCCACCTGGTCCCCATGGTTACAGCCTGCCCACACCCCTCCTCAATACTAATCACATGTTTGGAAGAATATTTGCAGTAGGGCAATGTGCCAACATGCACAGTTCCTGTGAGTTGCAACTACAGAGGGAGGGAGAATTTTATTTGCCCACAGGCTTCAATGAGCTGAGCTAATTCACATCTCCCAAGACTAATACAGTGGTACCTCGGGTTACATACGCTTCAGGTTACATACGTTTCAGGTTACATGCTCCACTAACCCAGAAATAGTGCTTCAGGTTAAGAACTTTGCTTCAGGATAAGAACAGAAATCGGGCTCCAGCAGCGCAGCAGCAGCGCAGCAGCAGCAGCAGGAGGACCCATTATTTAAAGTGGTGCTTCAGGTTAAGTATGGACCTCCGGAACAAATTAAGTACTAAACCTGAGGTACCACTGTACGTGGAGCAGACTAGAATTATTCTTCATAATATTCAATTCACATAGTGTTAATTGTAGGTACTAAATGCCCCAAATGAGGTTATTCTCTGCCTTTCTCCCAAATATTGACTATTGTCATCACTGCCCACTGATCTGAGTCTCAGCAACAACAAGCAACAACACTTCTGACTACATCAATCTCCTAGGCATGCTAGGCTAGGAGATGTGGACTACAACTCCCAGCAACCCCAGGCAGCAGGGCCAATGGTGATAGGAGTTGTAGTTCAACAAAATTTGGAGGGCGATATTTCATTCCACATTAGAATTAATATTGAAATAAGAGATCCGTGAACAGTGAAACAAAGAATACGCAAGCTGACTTAATGGTAATGAATGATGATCTAAAAGCTTAGATTCACTTCTTAAGGATTATGGTGCTAAGACCCACAGCTTTAGCTACAAATCAACAAGTAACTGGCTAACATGCAGTGCTTATATTAAAGATCTGTTTGGATGGCCTGTTCAACATTTCAATTGCATTTGTGTCAAATTAGCCTCTTTCATTTACATATTCGGTGACTCTGGAAAATGTCAGTAACTGAAAATTGCAAAGAAGGGAACAAAATAACAAACAAGTCAGAAAACACAGAAGTGTTTGCCACTGTTGAAATTCGATATTTCCTTTGGTTTTAAGCCTCGGGTATCCCCATCCAGACCACAAGTAAATGCAATTTCAGACGCCACAACCATCTCTCCAAGATTCAGATCTGGACATTGGCTTACCAACTTCGGTTATGTAAGATTTCCCATCTGATGGCAGAGGAATATACTGGTTAGAGAAGAAGCTGCTGCCGTACCCCAAGATGAAGCCTTCCAGTTTGGTGCTTGGACTGGGCCGAATGTATCTCATGCACACTGCATCACCAGTTGCATTGATCTGAACTTTCAGGCTTTGTCTCTTAACTGAGGTTGGGGGAGAGAAAGCAGAAAAGTATGGGATGTTACCAACTCAAGCAGAACAAACTTTTCAGCATACATATAGGACATGCTTTCAACAGCATAAATGTGTGGTAGCCAATGCTGTCTCAACGGATGCTTCAGAGTGGCATCATGTAGCAACAGATGTGGCACAGCTGAGAGTACCACATGCCCCACAGGTGCACCTAGTTTGTGCTAGAAATCAGGCTTTCGGTATTGCAGCTACAGCTTTCTGGAATCAATGGCCAGATGAAATTAGAAAGGCACCCTGCATCATAATGTTTAGATGCCTACTGCTTTACTTAAGAAAGTTTTCTCTGAGGTGTGACCCCTGTCATTTATGAAATATTAATTGTCCATTTACAGGGATGGTGCCTTTAGAGTCTGTACGAATAGTCTTAATTGTTTCTAGAGTTTGTAACTTTTTGTATTTTATCTTATTTGTATTATGTCTTACACTGTGAAGTGGATAATACATTTGTAAAGCAAGCAAAAATTTGCAAAGCGGCAGCTGCAATCACATGAAAACCAGTCTAGAGGAAGCCGTTTGCAGTAATTTCCCCAAAGTCTTCAGTGATTTCACTGTCGCATCACAACCGTTTACAATAATCTTGTTATGGTGCCGCAGTGATGTGCTCCGAGAAAGGATAGAGTGGGTCCCATTAAGAACATAAGAGCCCGCTGGATCATGCCAATGGCCCATCTCGTCCAGCATCCTGTTCTCAAAGTGGCCAATCAGATGCCTGTGGGAACCAGCAAGCAGGGCCCAGGCACAACAGCACTCTCCTCTCCTGCAGTGTCCAGCAACTGGTATTCAGTAGCATACCGCAATAGTCATCATACACTAGCCAGTAGCATACCACTAGTAGCCATTCCTGTAATGTTCATATGACAGATATTGCAAATGATAGAATATTACTTCTCTTTAAAATTTATTTAAGAAAGGCCCAATTCTGTTTGTCCTTTATGTTAAGTCTACTCAGTGTGAACAGTCGAGAAATTAAAAAGAGCAGTAGGTCATTGCGTGGACCGGCAGAGTCCCCCCAACCCCAGGTGGCTCCCGAGTGGAACAATGAGACTCAAGACAACGTGCTGTGGGATTAAAATTGGCCACAACTTTATTAAGTTTCAGATATAGGGAGACCTTGGCTCAGGCACTGGGCGTTTATCCTTCCCAGTCTCCAGCCAGGGATCTGGGGGACATCAGGGTTATCCAGAATGTGTGGGGATTGGGCTGGCTCTGGAGAACATATGTTCAAGCAGAGAGCCCGCCCCCCATTTTGCTGCCTTCGCAGGGGAGAGCAATGACAACCTCTTGGTGTATGGCCAATGCCTCCCTTCAAGACCCCTTTAATGGGGAACCCTGGGATCACTGCTGCAAGGGGGGCGTGGGTCACCACTTCACGCCCCCCCCCCCCAATTTAGGGAAGATAGACTAAAGGATTCCGCCCAAGGCCTGAAACTGCCAAAGTTGTGACGTTTTGCTACAGGGAAGGGAAAACCTGCCAATGCAGGAAAATTCCTTTCTGGCCCTTCAACAGTGACCATGATGTAGCAGCGCCCGCGTACCTGTGGAGAAGAGATTAACCTGTAAAAGAAGGCTTCACTGAGGGAGGGCAGGGTGGGAGAAGATCCAACTGATGATTCACAGGTAAGATCCACCCTCTGTTGTGGGCAGGGCAGTCCTTCCGCCTACCTGGGGAGCAACGCCTCCCCAGGCGGGATTGGGCGATTGGCTGAGGTAGGCAGAGACCTCCAGGTATCCAGTCTGGGGAGGGAGAAGCCAGCCCAAACTACCTGGAGCCGCATGGGATCCAGGGGGCTGCGCGTGACCACGGAAAGGCCCCCCATTTGATGTGGGGAGCGATCATTCCATTGTGTTTGTCAACTGTAGTTAAGTGTTAGCCATAGCCTGATCTTGATAGTTTTTAAGCTTTGCCAGTTTTTCTCTGAGTTCTTTGCTATATATCCACTTATTAGTCATATTTCCCACCATTTGGGTGCTTGAAGTGATGTACGGTCAATAAAAACAAACCCAGGGAAATTGTATATTTAACAAAATGTGAAGTATAGTAAAACAAAATACCAGCGGGTTTCAAACAGTGTTAGTATGCTATATTTTCACTACTGCAACAGAGGCTTCGTGGCATCAAAACTGGACTGATAAACAACCACAATAGCATTACAGTGACCAGATTCCTCATCCTGACACATTACCCTGTCCAGAGCCAATGCTGTAATTCTTAGTAACATTACCCCATCTTAGCTAGTGCTTACATAAACAGTCACGTTAATTAAAATATGCTATCACATACACCCTACAAATCATTGGAGTCTGCTTGCTATTAACAAAATGACAGGTAGTCACAGTTACTTGTCTAGAAAATGCTCTTGTCATAAAACAGGTATAATTCAATCTATGTCAAAATGTCACTGTGCTTGCCAACAGCGGTATAGTCATCACACTGAAATCCTTAAGTGCCACGTCCAAGCCAGTGTGCTCTCATTGTTCAGCACAACTCTTCATTATGCGTTTTCTTTGACATGTGTAGCATACGCATTATAAATGTGCACCTTCATTTTAAGGCGCAAACAGACTTTTATCTGAAATCAAATTAAAGGGATACCAGACTTAAACATGTTATGTAGTCCTTTAGTTTTCTGAAAGCGGTTTTTACATCATGTGAAAGCTCACATATAATGCAGATATTAACAGTTAGGAAACGGGGAAATGGAATAAACTATGGGGTGAATACAGCCAGAATGAAGTGCTGCATTGAAGTGGCAGGATTCTGCAATGCAGCACTTCATATTACACAGGAGGAGTTAAATTTTGACTACTACCTCAAGTAAAAATTCTCTACATGTAGTAAAGTAAATAATGCATCTGAGAGGTTTGGTGTAACTCTCTTTCCAATATGCTAAATTTATTATAAAGCAGGGAAATTTTATTTTATTTTATTTTTTAACATAGAATCATTCAAAAACATAACAGCTGCACACCTGCAATCTGAAGAGCTACAGCAGAAAATTCCTTAGGGAACAAGGACAAATCAGAGAACATCTGGGTCAGAGCCAGGAGTCTAATCCAGCATTCTGTTTCCACATCTGGCCAGTCAGAAGCTCCAAGGAAGCTCCCAAAAAGAGTGTAAAGGCAACCCAACCACCTGACATATGCACTGAAATGTAAGAGTCAGGCATGTTCCACTCTTCCTTCTTTTACAGTTCTCTCTTTTTTGGGGACATCAGGGCACAGGTAAGTATAAGAAGGCCCCACTAAAGTACTTTCTCTGCCAGGTAAGTTTGCATCATTGGCTTAGTTCTCCTTCCATTCTAGAACTCCTTAGTCTTCATCTCAGTTGTACTTTAAATAAGAACAGATACACTCTCTGCCCTTTCCTGCCTTTTAATAGTCCTCCAGCCAAGGACAGTGTTCACCAGTGGCTTTTTCCTCCTACTGCAAAACTTCCTGGCTTCCGACTGGAAAGTCGGACAGCTCCCAGTTTAGCTCCCCTTTTGCTCATTGGTCATTCTATTTCCTCATTTCTTTCTTCTCTCACAACTTCACATACTTTCCCTTTAAAGCTCCATCCACTGTAGTTGTAGCATGTTATACCCTGCCCTAGTGTTAGTTTTGATGAAGGGAGAGTTATAAATATTTTGAATACCAGTAAGTAAATTGATTAAGGTACCAATAGGAATAACCTACTTTACCTTGCAAAAGGGCTAAAAACATTTATAAGGTAGCAATCACTTTAGGTCTTATAGCCTACTCTTAAAAGGTGATAATTTTGCTGTATTAGGATTTTATTGGCACCTACTTCCCTTTCAGGCAGACAGAGTCAATAGAAAGCTTTCTAAGGATACTGTATAAGGCATTTGGTTCCACTTCTGGCATGTCCCCAACTATTGTGTCTTAAATTATGTCAGATTCCTTGTTTTCCTCAGACTTCTGCATTTGAATTTACAGTTATGTCAAGATGACCCAGAGAGAAATAACTAATTCATACTAGCTGGTTAATGTTTATGTTTATTTTTATTTTAAAAAAATCTCTAGTGGACAAATCTGGTACAGGTATAAGTCATTACTTAACCATTTTAAATCAGTTGAACATGGTGTTAAAGCAGGACTTCTGCTAAAGAATAATTTTCATTCTTTATAGGCTGGTCACTTATTTTTTATTGCCGAAAAGAGGAAAATGCTTCACCAATAAAAGGGCACTGATTGCATAATGTAGATGTATTGATGCAAACTAAGAAACAATGGCAATTTAAATGCAAAAACATAGTGTGGGAGACTGTAACCAGGTGGTCTGCACGTACAACTTCCAATTCAGTTCACATTTAAAAATGAACTCACCTAATTTACACCAATAAAACAGCGGTCTAACAACCCATAAAAAGCATATAAAAACAAATAAAACAAATTGAGAGGATCCAAACATGCAAAACAGGGTCAAATCTTATGGGTCAGGGTAAGCCTGGGCCAAAAGATAAGTCTTCCCAAGGCATCTGAAGCAAATGATGGTTCATTAATGATAGAGAAGGGCATTCTACAGTAGAGGGGCAACAGCAGAAAATGTCTGTTTGGGGTCACTGCCCTACAATATTTTGTAGGGTGTAGTTTCATAGGCAGAATTGTCCCAATGCATGAATGGCTAACCTATCCTTGTCAAGGAAAGGGTATAGTTGGCATGTCATCCTAAGCTGATAATAGGTGTTCATTGTGACAGATGTCACCAGAGCCCCCGGTGACAGAGATTGATCCAGGAGCACTCCCAAACTACACAACGTATGTTTCAAGGGGTGTGCAACCCTATCCAGAACTAGTGAATTCCCTAACCCCTAAATCTGGGAAGTGCCTGCCTGCAGAATCTCAGTCTTAGCAGGACTCATTCTGTTTGCTGCCCCTTGTCCATCAGGAGGACAAAGGTAATTGATTTTGTGTGGAGTGCCCTACCTGGGTGGATGGAGCAGCCAA